ATATATATATTATATTGTTATAACTATAAGCATGATAATGTGATAGCGAAATTTTTTACTTTTATAGAGATATTGAAAGGACCATTCCACGACATTATATGAAGTACATATCTATCAAGAATGATAGTTTCAAGGTGCAACATGTTCATTCAAGTTAATATGGCTAATTTATTTATCAAATCTATACCAACGATCTTTTGAAGATGGTGCACAAGATTGGAATGCGAAGGCTCAAAGATGTGAATTGATGCTCTCAACATAGGGAGCTAATACACGTTGTATTCTTTTTTCCTTACAAGGTTTTGTCCCACCGGATTTTTATTGCAAGGTTTTTAACGAGGCAACCAAAAGGCGAATTATAAATATGTGTACTTTTTTTCCTTCAGTAAAATTTTTTCTCACTGGGTTTTATTTTAGTTTTTTAGAGAGATTGTACGGATTTTACTTGGTGGCTAAATCACTCATTCTCTATAAATAAAGGGGTCATACTCCATTGTAATTTGTCCCAAATCTATAAGAATTCTCTTTTATCTGCAATGCTCTTCTTCTTTTATTATTTCATTACAATGTACCTGTTGTGATGAACCATATATCCAATTAATCACACTTAAACCTATATGGTTCGCTATCCTACGCACGTACACAAAAAAAAAAAAAAAAAAAAAAATTGAGTGAAACACACCTAATATACATTACATCTACCAAAAGCATAAGATGTTTGATTTGCATAGCTCCTTTCCTACTATCCTATCTATCATCTATGGAGTCAACCCCATAATCCTTCCGTATTAAAACAAAATTAAAGACGAAAATATCTGCACTGTTTGTTCATTCAATTGATTGTTCCAAATTTTAAGAGCCCGTTTGGACATAAAGACTTATTCACTTCTTTTCGAAAATTTTCACTTTTTTTTAAATTAGTGTTTGGCTATAAAATTTTCAATTTTCACTTGAAGATGAACTTTGGAATTTTTCGAAAATTTGAAATACTCCAAAAAGTTATTTTTCAAATTTTTTACTCAGATCACTCACAAAATTTAAAAAACAATCCAAAATTATATTATTATAAAACACAACTCTAATTTTAAAATATCATTTTCGCTTCAATTCTTTTTCTTTATTTTTTCTGGAATTTTACAATTCTTATGTCGAAACGCCCACTAAGCTAGCGTTTGGCCATAGATCCCAAATTTATTTTGAAAAATCTGATTTGGTTGAAGTTTGGTTTGAAGATGAAAATTTGTATGGACATACGTTTTCAACATATATTTTCCATATTTTATTTTGGAAAAATATGTATATAATTTTCAAGTTTTGGGATTTTGGGATTTGAGATTTGGCCAAATATGAGCAAAATTTATGTCAAAACATGAGTTTTGAAAATAAATCTCAAATTTATTTTGAAAAAACTCATGGCCAAACGGGATCTAAGTGTCTCGTATTCCTCTTTCATAATTAAGCAATCAAACAACTAGTCAAGTGATAGTTCCTTCGACCTCATAGTCTAGCATGACGTGTAACATTAAATCTACCTAACAGCCACGTAATCATGCTTACGTGGAATGCTACTATCACTTCCCCCATTAAAACGAAGTATTTCCGCTATGAAGCTAAAACTACAAACCTTGATCAACATTAACCGTCGGAAATCAACGGTCAGATTCTTGCCGTGGTACAATAATTTGCAGATGAAATGTCACTTTAATCTCATCGGTTTCAAAGTTAATTCTCGAATTTCGTTTTTCTCCCAACTGCCGAAGCAAAAGCTAAAAACGAAGCATTCCTAACACATGACCAAAATCTTCTATTTGGAATTTGCAATACGTAACCTCCTTTTTCACAAACACCTGCCATTCAATCCTGAATATCGTAGGAAAAGTTGTTACATAAATTTGTCCCTTTTACAGCATTGCTCCAGCCGGAAATTTTCAAGCTCCACATGATCGGTTAAAGCATCAAATTGTAGCATCCCTTTTACACTAGTCTTTGTTCACTTTTAGGGTTCGTTAACTTTCCCCTCTCTTTTTTTTCCTCTTTTTTTTGTATTGTGCATAAAAAATTTCTTTTAAATGTACAGTTTGTAGATGAATTTTATTTTAATTTTATTTTTATATATATTTAAAATTAACTTATTTGCTTTTATTAGCAGGTGATGTTTAGTAGTAATTTGTTTGTATGATATTTTGTGATTAATCAATGCTGCTGCTTGGTCGAAAATTAATTGGTGTTTTGAGGTGCTTATGTTTTCCCTTTAAATTTTATATAAATCAAAAGAGGTGGAATTAACATATATGCTGATTTGTGAATTAATATGTTGCTCCTTAGTCCTAAGTAGAAAATATACATTGCTGCGTTGAGGTGGTATTTTTTTTCTATAAATTTATTTGAGACAAATCAAAAGAGGTGGTAGGTTTAAGAGTTTAATCTGCAAACGTTTGCTTTTAATCCATTGCTGCTTTGCAGAAAACAAATTTGTTCCTTTGTTTTTTGGGGGTGGGGGTTATCTGGCTCGTTTGGTGTTTTGGACTATTTTGTTTCACATAGTAAGTGTATACTGAGTTCTTGAACTGCTTTAAAGGGAACTAAACGCATAGCTATTTATCTGTTATGACTCGATATGTTCTCCAATCCGTGTTAAAACTTTGTTGGCTGGGGGAACAGCTTGCTTGGCTACAAAAAAGCAAAATATGAAAATTTTGTTTTCCCCATAAAATTTTCAGCGTCAGACCTGTTTCGGAGCATGAGAGGGTTTTATCAATTTCATTTTCTGACCATTCATAATGGGTCGGATTCTGTGTCGGAAAGCATTTAGGTACTCTAGTTTCTGCTTGATACTGGGCATTATACTTTTATGAAGACAATAATATGGGGAGTGCTGTAGTTAAAATCACCGAAGATCAGTGGTTGGAGTTGTACATCTAGCTGGATTTGAACTCCACAGCAGTGTTGTGAAGAGCGTGAAGCGAGGAAAAGCAACAGAACCTAGTCGCTGCTTGCTCTGTTGATTTTGTGAAAAAAACCGAGCTTCTTTAGTTTTTCATTTAAGTACTGTTGGCAGTGAATTAAAAGACAGAAGCGACCGTTTCAGTCGCTTCTCGCTTTTTGGGAGAAGCGGTCGCTTCCAACTACCTGTTACGCTTCACCCAACAGAAGTGATACACTGGCCGCCTCACTTCGCTTCGCGCTTAAAGCGCTGCTCCACAGATCACGGATGACTTAAAATTTAATTTTCATTATTTAGATGACAGGAAGTTTGATCCAGTAGTATCATTGTACTATCAAGGAAAACCTCTGCAGGAAAGGAAAAAAGAACAACTATGTCAATGCAGCTTAAGGAGCTTGAAATTAAAGAGAGAAAATTGACTTGCTGCTCTCCGAAGCATAGTGACTTCTAGTATAGCTTGACTTTATGCCATAGACATCTTTAGTATCTGCTTAAATACTAACCTCAAACAAGAAATCTAGGGTTAGTCCATTTTCTTTGTCATGTGTTTATGAGAAAAGGATTTTCTGAAATCCAAGAGTCCCGTAATGATCCTTCCAAGCAGATATAAAGAAAGAGCTTAAGTACTGTAATTTTTAGAACATGGTATGCACAAAATATTTGCATTTCACTTTTTTATTGATGTGCCAATATGCGGTTAATACTGGTAATTTATTACAGTAGGAAAACTCGGGATGCATCTTCATTATCTGCTTAAATACTGAATTTAAACAGTGGATCTTGGGTTATTCCTTTCTATTTATCATGTCTCTACGAGGTAAGAGGACTTTTATGAATCTAAAAGTCTATTAGACAATGGAGGACGTTCTCCTTTTTCTATTTCTTTTCTTTTCTTTCCCCCGTATCATCTTATGATGAATATCTTAGTAGTCAGGCATAAGATTTTTCTTCTTACATTCCAAATGTTTGTGGCAGGGTTCCTGAAGGCTGAACATTGAGAATCTGATCGTCCCCATTCAGCATCAGTGTTTTTATAGGTATGAAGTATTATGCAGGATCCTTCTAATGCCAGGTTTTTAATTCATGGTTCTGGTGGAGATAACTTATTGAGAGACTCAGGCAACCTGCTTTATTGAAGTATTGGAAAGTTCTTCCAGAAAAGAAGCTAAATTGTTTAATTCTATCTGAGGTGACATGGAAGCTTCTCTTTGAGTTTTGAATCATCCTGATTGTAGGCCATATTTCCTGGAGATCCTGAGAAGCAGTGTGTTAAAAAGTGGAATGGGATGGAAGGGAATTTTGGTTCCGTTACTATTCTCCATCACTTTGGTCGAATCATCCAGGAATGCTGAAAAAATGTGGTCGCTAAACGTAGTTTCAGGATCATCTCCACTTTATAGCTGGGCTTTGTACAGTGCTGGTTTTTCCGTACTGGTGGCTGTAGTCTTGTCTATGTATCTAATCGTCGAGCATCTAGCTGCATACCATCAGCCTGAGGTTTTTACTTATACCTGTTCAATCCTCTCGGAGTTTTTTTCTTGCGAACATCATTGATCCAATGGTGTGCTGATCTGTTCATTTCAGTAATAAGTTTGTGGTGCTTGATCGTGTACATGCTTGTGTTGTTATTTTGTACAGATACTTGGTCTTTGTAGCATTGCCTAGTTTCATTGTCTCAGAAAACTTATCTGACCGAATTATTTTTATCACAGGAGCAGAAGTTTTTGATTGGACTAATCTTGATGGTTCCTGTTTATGCACTGGAATCGGTAAGATAACCTTTAGCTTGTCTGCTAGCTTTTTTCTCCAGTTTCTTTGGAAATGGTCTTTGAAGTTCGTCGCACACAATTTGAGATGTTGGGCGATGATTATTGTTGTTGTTGTTATTATTAAATCTCTTAATTTGACAAGGATAGTTCTGTAAAGTAGGCTAAGATAAGAAAATGCAAGTCACTTCAGGTTTCTCATTTCTGCAATCTGCATTTAGATATCTTAAAAATATTGTATTTTAAGTTAAGCTTGAATTGAGTGCATCCTTCAACAGCCTATATGTAATACGTCTAATTTTATGGCATGACCATCACCCTAAATTTAAAAAATATTTTGTTGTCGTCCTTTATATTTATGCTTCTGTAAGGAGATTGGTTCAATGTTTGACCACAGTTCCTGCTTTTACCTGACAGTTCTTATCCCTACTGGACTCGAATGCCGCATTCAACTGTGAGATCATACGTGATTGTTACGAGGCTTTTGCATTATATTGCTTCGAGAGGTATCTGATAGCCTGCTTAGGTATGTCTTCAGACATAGGTTGTTGCCCTCTTCTCATATAAAGTTTTCCCATGGGAAATGCCCACATTGAAAAGTTAAGTGCCTTAATTAAGAGCATCTTGCAAGATCTGCTCAGCTATAATTTGATGACAAGCAGTCGATGATTAGGTTCCCTTTGGGGTTTGACAGTGTCACTATATTTGTGTTTATTATTCACATAACCTTTTCCAAATGTTGCTCCATTCATGTTGCTATTGCAACTTATTTTGCAGTGGGGTTATATGATTGTCTCCATTCTCAGCGTTTATTTACTGGGGCAAATTTCTGCTAGCTTTTTTTATGAGGTTTCTTTCTTTAAACCTGATTCTCATATGAGCTACATGACCTAGGTGGAGAGAAAAACACAATCGAATTTATGGAAAGTCAAAGTGTTGTAAGTTCCAGCTTGCCTCTATTGGATGATGCCTATGCATATGGAGTTGTTGAACATCCTTTTCCATTGAATTGCATGATCAGGGAGTGGCATCTTGGCCCTGACTTTTATCAAGCAGTAAAAATTGGGATAGTGCAATATGTATGTGCCCCTCTTGTAATTTGCCTCTGGATTAAGAGTTTCGTCAAGCTTCTATGTACTGAATTGAGAGTTCTTTTTCCAGATGATACTTAAGATGATATGTGCTTTACTGGCTATGGTTTTTCAATTTCTTGGCATCTATGGTGAAGGCAAATTTGAGTGGAGATATGCGTAAGTCTACCAGGTTTTCCTGTCATACTCCAAAGATATCAGTATTTATTCCACCTGTTTCGTGACTCTTCTACTGTAGATGTCTGTTCTAGCCTCTGGATTGATTCTGTTCCAATTTATCCACTAAATTAGAAATGTCATGAGAGCACAAGCACGTCGTTGATTTGAGTGTTAATTCTTGCAGCTATCCTTATTTGGCAGTTGTTCTTAATTTTAGCCAGACCTGGGCTCTATATTGCCTTGTGCAGTTTTATTCAGTCACCAAGAATAAATTAGCACCGATTAAGCCATTGGCAAAGTTTCTTGTATTCAAGTCGATTGTATTCTTGACGTGGTGGCAAGGTATAGCTGTTGCTTTTCTTTTGTCTTTTGGAGCATTCAAAGGTTCTTTGGCACAACTATTGAAGACACGAATCCAGGACTATATCATCTGTCTTGAGGTCAGTTTTGTTTATGTAATTATCTTTGTAAACTGATAATTGCCTGATTTCTACTTCATGTGCCAGCAGAGGTTCATGAAAAAAAATGATTGATTTTGTTGTAGAATATGTGCTCTTTTTCAGTTTGCATCAATGAGCTGCTGGAGTAGTCTGGCTGGAGTAGTGAACTTTTGTGTATTAAAGTGAAGGATATAGTGCTCTTAGGTTGTATAGATTAAATTATTTGATAAATTGGTACAGCTCTTTATGTCTCTACTCGCTCATATTGAGATGTCCTAGAATTAGTTGAAGTGTGGGGAGTGGCAAAACTAAATCGAAAAAGCGGAAAGCTATATCACAGAACATACCTTAGTATTGGCTTGTACATTTTAATCGCATCATACAGTGTGCTTTGAGCTACTCATGGGTGGTACTTTACTGCTGAAGTTGACATTTGAAAGTATAGCTTGTTTGTGATGTAGTACCAAAAGGGAGTAGAAACAGAGAGGAAGAAGAATATAGCTACAAAGAGAGAGATAACTATCACTCAAATCTTTTTAACATAGTACATGATGGCCCTATTTGTAGGATATCGAATTCTAAACAAGTTGGAAATCTTAATACTTGTAGAATTTTACCTCCAACTAAAAAGATATTACAAGTTAAGATTTTTATTTTTGACAGTGAGATAATGTGATGTCTAATAGATTAACCCTGGATCTAGTTAAAAGAGAGTGAGAATGCACGGGAGAAAAATCTATTCTTGATATTAGTCTATGTTACAATGAGCCCTATTTATATGTATTCATAACATATAAAGTCAGCTCCAGGCAAAGGGTTACTATTCGAGGATCGAGGCCACGAGCAAATTGTTGGTACACAAATGCTGATTGGGAAGGATCACCTTCTGATAGACGTTCTACGTCTGGATATTGTGTTCTAGTAGGAGGTAATTTTGTCTCTCGGAAGAGCAAGAAACAAAATGTAGTTGCTCGATCTAGCACCGAAGCCGAATATCGGGCCATGGCTATGGCAACGTGTGCGCTAGTTTGGTCAAGCAGTTGCTCAAGGAGTTGAAGTTCGGAGAAATCAGCCAGACGGAACTCGTGTGTGATAATCAAGTTGCTCTTCATATTGCGTCAAATCCAGTGTTCCACGAGAGAACTAACCATATTGAGATTGACTGTCACTTTCTCAGAGAAAAAATACTCTCGGGAGATATTGCTACAAAGTTTGTGAAGTCGAATGATCAACTTGCAGATAATTTCACCAAGTCCCTCACTGAACCTCGTATTAGCTACATATGTAACAAGCTCGGTATATATGATTTATATGCACACTCACCGGAAAAGAAATGCCTGGTGCAGTCACTGTGAGGTAATTCAATTTTCCAACCAACCTCCTATATCTCGTAGGATCTCTAAGAGGCTCCCTTTGCCCAGGCAGAAGCTTAGCATTCGGTTCTATGGGAGTGTCAACAGGTGTGCAGCCCATCATTCTAGTTTCCTCAAGAATGTCTAAGGCATACTTCCACTGTGAAATAGTAATACCTGAGCCAGACTGAGCGACCCAATACCTAGAAAATACTTCAATTTGCCCAGATCTTTAGTTCGGAAGTGCTGAAAGAGATGTTGCTTCAGATTAGTATAACATAAACCGCCAGATAAATACACAGATTAGGAGCAGAATGCCGATAAAACACAGAGTGAATACCATCCTGATCGTTGCCAGTAATAACAATATCATCAACATAAACTGCCAGATAAATACACAGATTAGGAGCAGAATGCCGATAAAACACAGAGTGATCACCTTCACTACGAGTCATGCCGAACTCCTGAATAACTGTGCTGAACTTACCAAACCAAGCTCGAGGGCACTGTTCAAACCATATAGTGACATGCGCAATTGGCATACAAGACCACTAGACTCCCCCTGAGCAACAAAACCAGGTGGTTGCTCCATATAAACTTTTTCCTCAAGATCACCGTGGAGAAAAGCATTGTTAATGTCGAACTGATAAAGAGGTAGTATTTTATCATGGTGTCGGATCCTAAGCCAATGACGTATAGCAGCCATGGTCAAAAAGAGACGTACAGATGTTACTTTAGCCACGGGAGAGAAAATGTCACTATAATCTAGCCCAAAAATCTGAGTGTAACCTTTTGCAACAAGATAAGTCTTAAGCCGATCAACCTGGCCATCCTAAACCCAACGACAACCAACAGTAGACTTACCTGAAGGAAGAGGAACAAGCTCACAAGTGCCATTCGCATGTAAAGCAGACATCTCCTCAATCATAGCCTATCGCCATCCTGGATGAGATAGTGCCTCACCTGTAGACTTAGGGATAGAAACAGTGGACAAAGATGATATAAAAGCATAATGAGGTAATGACAGACGATGATAACTTAAACTGACATAATGGGGATTAGGATTAAGTGTAGATCGTACACCTTTGCGGAGTGCAATTGGTTGACTAAGAGGAGACTCGACAATAGGTGCAGAATTTGACGCAGGACGTGAATCACCTGGGCCTGATGTTGGACGTGGACGATGATGATAAGTCAAGAGTGGATAGGTGCAGAATTTGATGCAGGACGTGAATCACCTGGGCCTGATGTTGGATGTGGACGATGATGATAAGTCAAGAGTGGTGGAGCTGCAGAAGGTGGAACTGGATCTATAGGAGGTGGAACTGGAGCTATAGGTGGTGGAGCTGCAACTGGAGCTGTAGTTGTAGAGGAAGATGAATGGGAGATAGTGACTGAATTTCCAAAAGATGAACCGGTACTACCTCAGAAATATCTAAGTGATTACCTCTACCTGTGGAGTATGATTGGGTTTCAAAGAAAGTAACATCAGCGGACATATGGTACCGTTGGAGGTCAGGAGAATAGCATTGATACCCCTTTTGCGTTCTCGAATAACCTAGAAATATGCACTTCAGAGCACGAGAAGCTAACTTGTCTTTTTTGGAGTAAGGTTATGAACAAGACACGTGCTTCCAAAGACATGGGGTGGAAGAGAGAACAAAGGTAAGTGATTCTGGATAGATGAAGATCACATACGATTAACAAGATAGAAAGATGTAAGAACTGCATCCCCAAAAAACGCAATGGAACATGAGATTGTATGAGTAGGGTACGACATGTTTCATCAAGATGTTTATTCTTTTTTTGAGCTACCTCATTTTGTTGAGATGTGTATGGACAAGATGTTTGATGAATAATCCCATGAGAGTTCATAAACTGCTGAAACGGGGAAGACAAATACTCTAGGGCATTATCGCTCCGAAATGTGCGGATAGAGATCCTAAATTGATTTTGAATTTCAGCGTGGAAGGTCTGAAAAATAAAAAACAACTCAGACCGATTTTTCATCAAATATATCCAAGTGCACCTGGAATAATCATCAATGAAACTGACAAAGTAGCGAAATCTCAAGGTAGAATTGACCTGACTGGGACCCCAACATCTGAATGGCTAAAGTGAAAGGTGACTTAGCTCGATTATCAAGACGCCGAGGGAAGTGGGAGCGGGTGTGCTTACCGAGCTGACATGACTCACACTCAAGAGTGGACAAGTGAGATAAACCGGGTACCATTTTTTGAAGTTTTGACAAACTGGGATGTCCCAACCGTTTATGTAACAAATCTGGTGGATCGGTAACATTGAGCCTTGGGGTTTGCTCCCTTTCAAGGTCTCAAGTTCGAAACCCACTGGGTGCAAACAATTTCTGAGGGTCATGGACTGGGTAAAAACCTGAACTAACCGTGGTGAACTTGCGGGAAACTCCTTGCCGAGGGCCTGTGCACCCCCGGGATTAGTCGGGGCTTTTAGAGACTCGGACACCCGGTGCAAATCAAAAAAAGAAAAAGTTATTGAAGGAAGACAAAATGTGAGTCCATGTGATTTTGCAAGGATAAGGTAATAAAGTCCATCTGATTCACGCCCGGTACCAATGATCTGCCCGTACTGCGTTCCTGTATAAAAATAAGGTCATCAAGAAATATAACAGCGCATTTAAGTGATTTGGCTAAGCGACTAACGGCTATGAGATTAAAAGGACTATTGGGAACACAAAGAACTGAATCTAAAGGTAAGGAAGGAAGTGGGCTTGCTTGACCTATTGCAGTTGCCATGGTTTGAGACCCATTGGCCACTGTGACGGTTTGAAGAGATTGAGAATACGAAATACTAGTGAAAAGAGATTTGTTACCAGAAATATGATCAGATGCACTTGAATCAATGACCCAAGACTCAGAGATTGAAGATTGGGAGACACAAGTCACGCTACTATCCGTTTGAAGAACGGAAGCTATTCTGATGATGTCTGTTTACATGCTTTGTACTGAAGGAACTCAATATAATCGGGTAAAGAAACCCATTTGGATTGGATTCAATGAATTGGATCCAATGGATTGTGAGTTCAACGCTTCTGATACGAATGCCATTATAATGTTATGCCGGAGAATATAAATGTTGTCGGAATTTGATTTAAACTTGATTGAAAAAACTCGGAATATCCTCCTGAGTAATCTGTCCAAAAAAAGTTTCGTCGGGAAAATCACTGTAGCCGTCGGAAAATCTCAAAGTGATCGGAACAAAAAGAAAAAGGGATGGGTAGGCTCGGAATTTTTGTGTGACCAGGACAAGCTTGTCTCCAAAAAATGGCAGGAGAAGCACCCACGCGCCGGCGCGTGGGACAGACGCGCCGGCGGAATTCCAGATCTGGGAGGCGCGTGGAGCGTCTGTTACCGGAGAATCTTTTTGGGGTTTGGTCGCCGGAGGTTTCTGAGACTAATGGTGGTGTTGGTTTGTGCGCAACACTCACCAATTGTGAGATGACGCAAATCAGTTGCTTAGGTCACCGGAAAATTGCGCGGTGACTGAGTTATTTCTTCCCGGATGTCGCTGGAATGACGCACATCGATCTTTACTTACTAATGCTCTGATATCATGTGAAAATGCTCGGGAGAAAATCTTCTTGATATTAGTCTATGTTACAATGAGCGCTAT